TTTGTGAATTTAAAGCATTATAAATTCAAAAAGAATCAATTGTCAGTCCTTCCTAAGATCAAAGTGAAAATAATTTTATCAAGCGTCATTTTGAAAACCAACACTTTGTTCAAATCTGAAAATCAGACAGCCTATGAGTTCACATTTAAACATTTAAAATTTATTTTTAAGGGTTTGTTTTTCTTTTAAAACAGAGTATTTATATCAGACTTATGGAAATATTTTATAGTTACCTAATAATAACAAAAATCAATTTAGTTTCTAACATTTTTGTTTTTCTTTTATTGACATATTTTAACATAGCTTGCATACATGACTTCATGATTTAAACAGTATAACTTATTCTGTTTCTTGGCTAGAGACCAATTAAATAACCAATGATGCAAGCAGTTATTACCTGCTTAAAAGGAAATATGTGGTTTCCTTATTTAAATTGCTAAGTTTTAGTGTCCATCAAAAAGGCTGTTGTTGCCATGAATAATTTAACCATTTTAGTCTACTACACATTTTACTACTACAAGCATGGATTTAGAGCTACAAAATTTGCCTAAAGTTTCTCAGTCCCAAGGACTAGAATCATACTTGCTATAAGACAATATTTATGTATAGTTATGTATGCTATTTAAAATAAGACACTAAAAGGACAATATTTCTAAAATTAGAGAAGAAAGACTGAATCAAAAAATTTGATGAAAGGAGTTAGAGAAATGGGCCTAGCAAACACATTTACATATGTGTAAGAGAACCTAGAAGAACCTTTTTAAAAAGAGTAAAGGTCAATAGATTTGGAGATGTCGGGTGTCATTTCCTCTGTTTGTCCCTTGGTGGAGTTCTTGAGTCACTTTCTCCCTTTCCGTCAAACTGCTTTATATTTCTTTTCAGAACTGGCTATCATGTTTACTGTATTTAACCTTTTTTCTCGTATTATTGTGAATAATACAGCGTCTAATAAAAATGAAAGCCCCCTGAGATCCTATGGCTAGCACCTATTCCTTTGTACTCTTACCTGTAAACTTTTATCGTTACTTCTCTTCCTGTCTTTTCTTTAAGCTTAAACTACATCGAGGACCTTGAATGCTATTTTTCAGCTAAGTCACTAAAATTTCTTTACTGCAAAGCAGTTTTAAGCAAAAGAGGTTAGTAGGTAAATTTTCAAAAGGAAAATAGCTAATATTGTAAGTCTAGGGAGAGATGTTTAGTATAGAACAGGAATCATTGGTCACGTTTTATTAAATGTATCTTAGAATGAAATGGATTTCTATTTTAATCAATTTCATTATGTACATCTTGGTTGGGAAGGGACATTTCTTTGTCTTGTCTCCTCTCTCTCTCTCTTTCCCTCCTCCCCCCACGTCCCCAACAACATTCCCTCAAACATTTTGCTTCCTACACTTTATGACGTCTTATTAGTCTGATCAATGCAGGCTTTAGGACACTGCTCTTATTTTCTTTTTCAGTTTTGACTACCAAAGCAGCAGCAGCACCAGCAGCAAGATCTTTAATTTATTGCAGCCGGTTACACTTTCGATCCCATTTCCTTCTGAACCTTTGCCTCTCAGGTTGAGAAGATAAATGCAGCCTCGGGTCTAAGAAACCGAGAGGGGTTTGTGGGTGGGAGCGAAGCCGGATATCATATTCCTTTGGTGAGGTCTGGTACTAAGGGGATTAAATCCCCCGGTTCCATTTAATGAAATTGCTGAGCACTTGTGACACTGGCTGGAAGACTGCGGAAATGGGGCGGGGGTGGGGGAAAGGAGTTCTCGCCTCCATTCATCCTCCGCAACCGCAGGAGGCTGGAGTGAGAGTGTCAGTCCCTAGACTGGGGGCGGAAGAGGATTGGGAGCTCTGGCCGAGGCCCGGGCGCCCGTAGGGCTCCGCTCACCTCCCCCGCACCTTCTCCCCGCCCATTCAGTTCCGGTCTCCGAGAACCGCGCCGCCGGGCAAAGCCGCTGTCACTTCTTGGCGGCTCCGGCGGAAAGGTCGGAGCCAGGGACCGCTGGGGGAGGGAGCAAAGTCAGGAGGCTTTAGGGCCCGGGCAGTCTGGCAGCGCTGTTCACATGCAGAACACGTCGGACCCATTTCCCACGCTGACTTGGCTCAGCCGCGGAGTTGGTAGGGATGAGAGTGGGGAAGGCGGGCTGGAGACTACCTCCCGCCCGCAGAGGAAACCACTCCACTGTGAAGGACGCGTTTCACTCCCTCCCCCTGTCATCAGGGAAGAAAAGTCCGGTCTGAGAGAGAAAAGCCGCCCACTCCTTCGACCCCAGCAAATGTGCGTTTGGCCAGGGCGCATCAGAGCAGCGCGCAACTGTTAGAAGACGGAGAGGGGTGTATTCAAGTTTATGGTCTGGAGTAGGATGAGGCAGTGTACGCGTCTCTGCCCACGCGGCTGTCTGAAGTTTGCAAAACCTTAGTAAAGGCGGAGAGGGGAGTGAGTGCACTGCACCACATTGCCGCGCATCGGAATGCATGGCGCTTGGCCTGGGAGTGGAGAAGGCTTTTCTTTCCCTTTGTAATCAGGGTCGGTGGAAAGCAGGCATTCCGACAAGCCCGTATTCTTGCCAAATATAAGGGGATTTGGCATTACTGCCACTTAGGCGGCTGCAAAGGCGCTGCAGCGGCAGCCCCCGCCCCCGGCTGGAGACTGCGGCGGTGCGCACTGAGCCTGCGCACCGAGCTTTTCTCGCTGATGCTGCAGATACAGAGCTAAGGGGCTAGGATGACGGCGGCTGGAGGGTTAGTGGGAAGGCTGGATCCCCAGCCCTATCCTCAGAGGAGGAGTTGCCACTCTCGAATGCTATTGCTTGAACACACTGGAAAATACCTGACGGTTCCCTACCACATACTACACACACTTCCATTCTCCGCATTTCCAGGATCCCCTTTAGGAAAGCTTGGAAATCTCTGCCGCCTCCCCGCCCCCTGCCGCCCCCATTCCTGCTCGCATTGCTCGTCCGAACAACCGCACACTACATCTACTTCGGGATTTTATTAGTATTTATCTTGTTTACATCATTCTGCCTCTCATCCAGGTCTAAAGAGAGTCTGGACAGACCTCCTTTCTCTCTCTCTCTCTCTCTCTCTCTCTCTCTCTCTCTCTCTCTCTCTCTCTCTCTCTTCCTCCCTGCCTCTTTTCTTTCCTCCTTCCTTCCTTCCCACTACCCCCCCCCCACTCCGCTTCAATTTTTTTCTTGTTTTTAAAGAAGAAACCCTTCTAAGCTTATAGATTGGGCAAAAGAGCCAAGTACCAACCCAATCCCATCAGCAGCCCTTTTTCTCCTTTGAGATAGTAATAATTCTCCCCCACAAATCTCCTGCCCGCTTCAATATTCAATCTTGGCAGGGGCCCCTTAAATAAATAAGGAGCAAATGGATTCAGTTCAGAAAGCACAATCAGACCTGAGATCTGATGAAGTGGTCTGCAGTGGTCATGGTTGAAAATTAACTGGGGAAACCTAGCATAGGGAAATAGCAGAGAAGATCTAGTGGCACAAAGTCAAAAGGAGAGAAAAGGAGCTAGGGACACTTTGGTACACAAAGTTGCCATTAAAGTTTATTTCCCTTATATCCAGATAGGTGACGCTACACTTTACCAGTTACTACAGGCTGCAGGTTTCTGCTCAGAAAATAATATCCAGGCTTCCAACATGTGTTTTATTCCCCAGGCGCGCGCACACACGGTCTACCCCCTAATGTAAGCACGTTGACAGGAATGCCAAGCATTTAAACAAAGACAGGCATCCTCCCCAACCCACCCCCGCCCCATCCCAACCCTCCAAAGTCTGCGCTCCCAGAACAAGAATCCCTCTCCCGCTCTCTCTGGAGTTTGAGGTTCTCTCGTCACTACTGCAGCCCATCACGGATTTTCAGAACACCAGCGTTGCTTTGTGGACGCACGTACGCTCCCCAACCCGCCAGTAACCGTGCCCTAATCCAAATGGTAAATTGCTCAGAGACACTTTTGTGGGAGAGTAGAAAATCTTCTGAAAGGGGAGAAACGAAAGAGAAAGGTGTCCTAATACCTGATCCAAATCTCTCATAGGCACTCATGTGAGAGATCAGGAGGAGGAAATTTACCAGCGCGAGGGAAGGAAAGCATGTTTGCCCCCGCCCCCCGTCCCACTCCCAGAGAACAAGCGACTGTACTAGTTGCCGGGACTAGGCTTTGACTTAAAGATGTTGAGATTGGGCACTCTCCAAGCGGCTTCTGAGCTGAAGCTGGGCTTTACGGAGCGCAGCGGATGGCTGGTGCTCCCTCCCGCCTCCTTTTGCTGGGCCCTCCTCCCACGCTCGCTGCGAGTGTGTAGTTTCGGCGTTGGGGCTCCTACCGCTGCCGCCGCCTCAGCAGCAGCGTGAGGGACAAGTCTGAGTCGCCAGCAAGCGAACCTTCAGCAGCAGCCACCACTTTAGGCAAACTTGCGCATTTCTGGCTCGTGGGTAGAGAGTAAGAGCTTTCCAGTTGTGGTTCAGTGTCTCCCAGTCGAGGCAGCCGGAGAGGCGGCGGGAGCGCCCCCACCAGACTCTCTTAGACGCGAAAGCGGACAAGACAACTGCGGAATTCACCCGCCGTGCCAGGGCACTTCGAGACAACAGCCGACTGGCACTTTTTCTCCCCTTGGCAAACTGGATTTTTTTTTTTAAGCTACTTGGCAGCTGTCTCTGGACTCCACCTCTCCCTCTACTCCCCCCAACCCCCGCCTTTGGCTTTTCTTCGGAAATCCGGACAAAATTGGGCAACGTTGTTAATTGCCATTGGGGGAGCCCGGCCGTGCGCTTTCGCCGGGCCAACGCCGACTGTGCTCGGAGCTTGACTTGCTCACCTTTGAACTGCAAAGGGATCAAGTTCAGCTCGAGTTCCCTGCACTGGGACTGGCAGGAAGGAGTGAGATCCGTGCAGAACAGCGAGTGAGAGAGGGGGGAAAGGGGAAAGGAGAGGAGGGAGGAGAGAGGAGGAGGGAGGAGAGAAAGAGGGAGGGAGGGAGGGGAGGGATCGAGAGAGAGCCGGGAGAGAGAGAGCGAGAGGCTGCAATCTCCTCCCTGAATCGCGCACAGCGCTGCAGATCCCACAGCTCCGACATGCGGGCCGAATGCAGGTGAGGAAAGGCACGGACTCTGCGGCTGCTAACCCAAACTTGGGCACCGCGCGGGCGCACGGTTCAACCCTCGCCCCCGCGGGCGAACGGCTTCTGCGGTTTCAGGCGGCGGCTTCGTGACTAATGACCTTGCGCAGAGTTGTTAAGAAAAAAGAGAAACCCGAGCTCTCAGAGGGTGAGAAGCGACTGACTCCGGGTGTCTCTGAAGATGGCTCTGGCTGCTCTTTGGCGCGCCGGGGGAATCCGGACGCGGACCGCTCTGTGACGCGAGTAGTCTTCACTGCACCGTGCCCGAAGCGACCTGCTGGGGATTTTTTCATTCTGTTGACTGGCTTCTCCTCTGCCTGAGAGGAGTCAGAGTTGAGACTGGCTTGTTGCTGGCCCCGGAGCTTCCTGCAGGAAGCGACTCACGTTTGCTTGGGCATCCATAGCCAGAGCAGGGGCTGGGTCTAGAGTGAGTGGCTGAACGTGAATTGGACTCAACTCGAGTAGCAGCAAAGACTAGCGTGGCTGGCAGGCGGGGGAGGCTGTATGCTTGCTACCCGCGGCTTCCCGGTTCCACCGCCAGCCTGCTGAAGCGATTCTGGCCCCTTCCGACAGAGCGGGGAACCGAGCCGGGGATCCTCCTCCCGCTGCGGGGATGACTCTGGGGGGGGGGCGCCCAACCCGCGGCGCGCAATGTCCCGTGAACTGTGAGTACTGCGACTGAACCGCGGCCGGCGAGCGGGCGATTAGCACCCATTGCATGAATTATGAAACAATAACTTTCGGAAGAAGCAGGAGGAAGAAAAAGAAGGATCTATCGCTACCCCCACCCCATAGGCCGACTCTACAAGCTGCTTTTGCCCCCTCCTTCCCCTTCCTCTCGTTCCTTCCTTTCCCGGAGAGGAGAGAGGACTGGGGGAGGGCAGGCGGCCAGCCCCGGAGGAGGGGGGCGCCGAGGGGGCTGTGGTTAGAAGGAACAGTAGCAGCAGCAGCAGGAGAAGATGCTGAGGATGCGGACGACGGGATGGGCGCGCGGCTGGTGCTTGGGCTGCTGCCTCCTTCTGCCGCTCTGGCTCAGCCTGGCGGCGGCCAAGCAGCTCCTCCGATATCGGCTGGCGGAGGAGGGCCCCGCCGACGTCCGGATAGGCAATGTCGCTTCGGACCTGGGCATCGTGACCGGCTCGGGTGAGGTGACTTTCAGCCTTGAGTCGGGCTCCGAGTACCTGAAGATCGACAACCTCACCGGTGAGCTGAGCACAAGCGAAAGGCGCATCGACCGCGAGAAGCTCCCCCAGTGTCAGATGATCTTCGACGAGAATGAGTGCTTCCTGGACTTCGAGGTGTCGGTAATAGGACCCTCGCAGAGCTGGGTGGACCTGTTTGAGGGTCGGGTCATCGTGCTCGACATCAACGACAACACGCCCACCTTCCCGTCTCCGGTGCTCACGCTCACGGTGGAGGAGAATCGGCCTGTGGGCACGCTGTACCTGCTGCCAACCGCCACCGACCGTGACTTTGGCCGCAACGGCATCGAGCGCTACGAGCTGCTCCAGGAGCCCGGGGGCGGCGGCAGCGGTGGAGAGGGCCGGCGCTCTGGGCCAGCCGACAGCGCCCCCTACCCAGGGGGCGGCGGGAATGGCGCGAGCGGCGGCGGCCCTGGAGGCTCCAAGCGGCGGCTGGACGCTCCAGAGGGCGGCGGCGGAACTAACCCTGGCAGCCGCAGCAGCGTGTTCGAGCTTCAGGTGGCTGACACCCCGGACGGCGAGAAGCAACCGCAACTGATCGTGAAGGGGGCGCTGGACCGCGAGCAACGCGATTCCTATGAGCTGACCTTGAGGGTGCGCGACGGCGGCGACCCGCCTCGATCTTCCCAGGCCATCTTGAGGGTGCTCATCACCGATGTGAACGACAACAGCCCTCGCTTCGAGAAGAGCGTGTACGAGGCTGACCTGGCTGAGAACAGCGCCCCTGGGACCCCCATTCTGCAGCTGCGCGCCGCCGACTTGGACGTGGGGGTCAATGGACAGATCGAGTACGTGTTTGGGGCGGCCACCGAGTCCGTGAGACGACTACTGCGCCTCGACGAGACGTCGGGATGGCTCAGTGTCTTGCACCGTATCGACCGCGAGGAAGTGAACCAGCTGCGATTCACAGTCATGGCCCGCGACCGTGGGCAGCCCCCCAAGACAGACAAGGCCACCGTGGTTCTCAACATCAAGGATGAAAACGACAACGTGCCGTCCATTGAAATCCGCAAGATCGGGCGCATCCCCCTTAAGGACGGGGTAGCCAACGTGGCAGAGGACGTTCTGGTCGACACCCCTATTGCTCTGGTACAGGTGTCAGACAGAGACCAAGGGGAGAATGGGGTAGTGACCTGCACAGTGGTGGGCGATGTGCCCTTCCAGCTCAAGCCGGCCAGCGACACAGAGGGCGACCAGAACAAAAAAAAGTACTTCCTGCACACGTCGGCTCCTCTAGACTATGAGACCACCAGGGAATTCAACGTGGTCATAGTTGCGGTGGACTCTGGCAGCCCAAGCCTTTCCAGCAACAATTCCTTGGTGGTCAAGGTTGGAGACACCAATGACAACCCACCGGTCTTTGGCCAGTCAGTGGTGGAGGTTTACTTCCCAGAAAACAACATACCTGGCGAAAGGGTGGCTACTGTGCTGGCAACAGACGCTGACAGCGGAAAGAATGCAGAGATTGCCTACTCGCTGGATTCATCGGTGATGGGGACCTTTGCCATTGATCCCGATTCTGGGGACATCCTGGTCAATACGGTGCTGGACCGCGAGCAGACTGACAGGTATGAGTTTAAAGTTAACGCCAAAGACAAAGGCATCCCTGTGCTGCAGGGCAGCACCACGGTAATTGTGCAGGTGGCTGATAAGAATGACAACGACCCTAAGTTTATGCAGGACGTCTTTACCTTTTATGTGAAAGAAAACTTGCAACCCAACAGCCCGGTGGGAATGGTCACCGTGATGGATGCTGACAAGGGACGGAATGCAGAGATGAGTCTGTACATAGAGGAGAACAGTAACATTTTTTCTATTGAAAATGACACAGGTACCATTTACTCTACCATGTCTTTTGATCGGGAACATCAGACCACATACACTTTCAGAGTCAAGGCTGTGGATGGGGGCGATCCCCCCAGATCTGCCACAGCCACAGTCTCTCTCTTTGTGATGGATGAAAATGACAATGCTCCCACAGTTACCCTTCCCAGAAACATTTCCTACACTTTACTGCCACCTTCAAGTAATGTCAGGACAGTAGTAGCTACAGTGTTGGCAACAGACAGTGATGATGGCATCAATGCAGACCTGAACTACAGCATTGTGGGAGGGAATCCCTTCAAGCTGTTTGAGATTGATCCCACCAGTGGTGTGGTTTCCTTGGTGGGAAAACTCACCCAAAAGCATTATGGTTTGCACAGGTTGGTGGTGCAAGTGAATGACAGTGGGCAGCCTTCCCAGTCTACCACCACCCTGGTGCATGTTTTTGTCAATGAAAGTGTTTCAAATGCAACTGTGATTGACTCTCAGATAGCCAGAAGTTTGCACACCCCACTGACCCAGGATATAGCTGGTGACCCAAGCTATGAAATTAGCAAACAGAGACTCAGTATTGTCATTGGGGTGGTTGCTGGCATTATGACAGTGATTCTAATAATTTTAATTGTCGTGATGGCAAGGTACTGCAGGTCTAAAAATAAAAATGGCTATGAAGCTGGCAAAAAAGATCACGAAGATTTTTTTACACCCCAACAGCATGACAAATCTAAAAAGCCTAAAAAGGACAAGAAAAACAAAAAATCTAAGCAGCCTCTCTACAGCAGCATTGTCACTGTAGAAGCTTCTAAACCAAATGGACAGAGGTATGATAGTGTCAATGAGAAGCTGTCAGACAGCCCAAGCATGGGGCGATACAGATCTGTTAATGGTGGGCCTGGCAGTCCTGACCTGGCAAGGCATTACAAATCTAGTTCCCCGTTACCCACTGTCCAGCTTCATCCACAATCACCAACTGCAGGAAAAAAACACCAGGCTGTACAAGATCTACCACCAGCCAACACATTTGTGGGAGCAGGAGACAACATTTCAATTGGATCAGATCACTGCTCTGAGTACAGCTGTCAAACCAATAACAAGTACAGCAAACAGGTAAGATGCATCCCAAATATACTAAAATATTCTAGAGAGGGCTAATATCTCTGAGACAGATCACCTTCTGCAAATTTTTGTCTTTTCTTCTTAAAAATTATCATTTAAAATTTTAATAACTGTAATTTAATGTTAATTCTTAATTCATATGCTATTAAATAGCAGAAGCCTTCAATGAGAGTTGTAGTACTGTATTTTGCAAGTTAGACCTAGTGTCCACTAAGTTACAGGAAAATATTTAAAGTGGACAGTGTTTTGCCTTGTCTTTGCACGTGACAGCCCTAATCCATCCTGTATTCTCTGCTTATAGAATAAATATGCGTATATTATTTGGATAGTTCCAAGTAGATAATTATATCTAGAGAAAAAATTTCTTAAGTCACTACAGTGGTGTGTTCAGATTGGACACAATGAAAGTTTTAGCTGTGTTATATACACATAATGAAGAATTTTACAAATAAGATTGATTTATGCAAGTATAGTGCCATGTATGAAATGTCAAAATACTAATTCAACAAAAAAGCTAGTTTAAAAATATTTACTGATATGCAAGTGTCATGAAAAACTATGTTTTTAATACTTCATGTCTACAACAATTGATATCTATAACAACTGGGTTTCTGTGATGATATGCAATCATAATTTGCACTCATTTCCCAGTATCAAAGTGTATAAACAAAAAGTAAGTTGCAAGGGCCATTTGTTTTTTAATACAAGCAATGAAAATGTTCATAATGGATGTAGTGTGTGCAAGACTGTTTTGATATTCTTTGTAATACTCTGAGACTATAAAGATTGTGTGGAATATTAGACACAATTGTTTCCTGGAAAAATGTGAAAATAGTAGCACATCCATATGTATGTGTGTATATATATGCATATATGTGTATGTATGTGTGTGTGTATATATATATTTCATATACATATATATGTGTATATATATATATATATATATATATATTTCATATATATATCTGAGGGGAACTTCAGAAAATATAAATTTTGTTTTTTTAAAGTTTTACTTGTATGATACTTAGAAAGTTTATTTTTTATACCAATCAAAGTTTAACACACAGCAAATAAATTTTTTGGAAACTCCTCTGTCTGATGTTGCAGCAAACTCTGCTTATAAAACAATACATATTTCTCACTGACAGAACATATCTTAACCACTTTTATGAATGTCAAATAGTTTTACTACTAAACATGCTTTGCTTGTGGAATATGGGATCTGAGAAGAATTGAGGCAAAGAAATATTTTATTTTATTGCTTTATTTAAGATGATATAGAAAATATATTAATTCCTTATTTGCTCCCATAATTATTAAAATTAGTTTCCTAAAGAAATATTTTCTGTTTGTAGTCCATTATTGTAGCTATTTGGATAAAAACAAACAGCCTTAATCTGATTTTATATCCAATAGTAAAAGCAATACAAGAAAAACATAGGTTTGTACTATAATGTACGAAATGGCTGTTGAAGATATGTCTTTTGAGGCATGCAAGATTGAATAATTTATTTATTTTAACCCAAGATTTGATATTGTGGAAAGTTTATATCTGTTATATTATTGCTTTACCTAGAGTTAGAAAGAATTTTTTCTTTTGTTTCTTCATGCCTTTATCAGATTTGTAAACAAGGAGGATTCTTAGTTAAAATAATTTTACTTTTATAAGATTACATTTAAGAACCCACAAATAAATTGAGGTTTTAAAAATTTCCCAGAAAGTGACAAAACATAATGCAAAAAAGTGTGAAGAGATCTTTTCTGCCGAATATTTACTTCTCCCCTGTCATCTTAATAGTACTTTCGTCCTGTAACTGAAAATTGCATTCTAAATTGTGTAATATTATGCTTTTAAGTGGATATATAAGTGGCAGATTTACAGGTATTTTATACAAATGCCTTATAAGTTCTATGCTTTCACTTAAACTCCTTTTGACCCATCAGATGGTGTTACTTGTATGTTCTTCAATTTTTTAAAAGAGCCAATATCAAGATTGTTTAAAAGGCAAAGTGATACGCTTATAAATAAACTAATGTATGATATTAGTCTCTTAACTGAGCAAAGTCCATATAACAAAAACAAAAACCCACAAAGCAATTAGAATAATCATATAGTTTACCAAAAGTGACTGTAGAAACCTTGTATGTCATTATGTATTTAAAAAGATGTATAAATTTTAACCACAAATAAGTAATTGACCTACAGTGAAATAAAGGCAAATGAAACACATCCCCCTTAGTGTAATTAGTAATAGTAATTGATATGCTTCATCTTCTCAATATTGCTGTCAGGGGACAAGGGATCCATTTACAAAGTTACATTCCATTTAGGTATCTGGCATACAGAGAACCCTTTTGTTCTGATTTTCATTTTTATTTTAAAGTAGGTGATTTTTCTGTTTTTTATTTTAAAAAGATATTACCTTTAATTTTTACAGAACTGCCATGATATATTTTCTTCAAGTAAACTTTTTGTTTAGAAACAAACAAACAAACAAACAAATGCAGGGTTTTGTTACAATTTATGTTCTTCAACAAATGAATTTATCTAAGGAAAAATTTAAGAGTTATATTCTTTTAAGTGCTTATAATAAAGATTAATTTAAAACATGATATTTAATTTGATATGGAGCTTTTATTTTAGAGTTTTCCTGAATTGCCTCATTATAGCTCCTTATTAAAATGGAAGTGGTGGAGTGGTGGTTCTTAGAGTTTTCTTATCTTCAGAAGACTTAGACATTTTGAAGTGTTGCTTCTATGTGGTTATGTAGTTGTAAGCTAAACAACTCCCTAGTAACGAAAGATTGTAAGAAATCCTCATACTATGGTCCCCTCCCCCTTCTTTTACGTTTGTTTTCCTAGACTCTAGAGACCATCTAGTCAAGCTTCTAGAGTTACTCTTTGGCAGACTATAGATGTGTGTTGCAAAGTTTCTGGAATTATTTCTGAAATTCACATATTAGAAAAACTGATGATGTAGCCTAGGTTTTCATAATTCATACCTTTGCCATTCAGACAACCACCTTCTGTTGAGTCAAATCTGGATCATTGACAGAATAATTGAGATTAAGTGTCCACCTTTCCGTTTCATTCTTCTTTTGCCTGGCAAACCTGGTCCTGTTGAAGGTCTAAAAATACAACTGTGCTTTTGATTTGCAAAATTAAAAAGAATGCTTTCTGTTTATTTTTAAATACCCAGTGTTTTACTGTGTGCTAAATGTTTTTCAAAATTCTTTAAAAAATAATATAACTCCAAAAATTGATAATATAAATATACAGCTACAACATTGCTTATTACTCTCAAGTCCTGCTGAGCTTACTCTTGATATGCTGTTATTTAGATAATGCACATAAAAGTAAAAATTTATTGTACTTAGTAAAAGGAAAGTAAAGCAATTTATTTTTGGCAAGAATTTAGGTTGAATAAACATTCACTTTAAAATCCATTTGTAGTTGATCCTGAAATACTTAAGGAAAAATTATATTAAATCTCGTGACAGTTTCCTTTTATAAGGAACTGTTGAATTAGTTTGAATAATGTTCTCTTTAATTGATCAATCTATGTTCAATTGCTATATTTTTTCATTAGAATATATATTTCTTATATACTAATGAAAAAATATAGCAGAACCTGTTTATTTTTTAACTACTTCAATTTTGGAAGCAAATGGATGACTTGCCATCATTTTCGGAGCAATAAGCATTAAGGGAAATGTATAACAATTTATTTGTGTATATATAAAAACACTATATATATTTTGGTAGTAATACATCTGCATAATGATGCCAGCCACCACTTCCTAATTTAATTCCATAAGCATAATCTCTATAATATGACTCTCATGTTTTCAACTATGGAGTCTTTCAAGAGGCACAGTGAATCTGCATATGATGAAACTGCTGTTATATTTGGCCTGATACAGTCAATAGACTAATAACTATGGAAATGAGACCATGTCTTTAGTTGAGAGACATCTACTAAAACAACATTGCCTGAATCTTTGGATATCTATGAAATAAGGAAAAAGTCATTCACTGATTTGACCTGCAGTAATAGCTATGCAAATTTAAATGGAAGTCCACATATGACAATTTAAAACTTATCCCAAACTTATCCTAAATCCATTAGTGATGTAGATATAAAGCTGCAAAGCCAATTTAATGATTTTAAGTAAGTCATGCAGGACACTAAATATTACAAAATCATTTTCTTATTGTATTCCTATCTTTGAAATATCTTTAATATCTCACCTGTGGAAAAGTATAAATAATATATATATCACAAACTCTTTATGTTCCTGTATAACAAGTATGGTGCCAATGGTTTTTTATTTTGTTACAATATTCATACATTGATATATGAATAATACCTGAAATTTGAACATACACAAAGCCAAAAGACCTTATAATCAATGGCTTAAAAATCACAGAGTCATCACATTTTAGATTTAGAAGATATCAACTAAGAACTCCTCCCACTTTATGGAAGAAGAGACTGAGGCCTGACGTAAAAAAGTAATTTGGAAGCGCAGCATTATCAGGTACATAGGTAAACTGGAGTCCAAATCATGGATTTCAGAGTTTAGTATTCCTTTTTATTTCATTATATTCTCTATAAGAAAAAAAAAAACTGAATTTCTGTAACTTTTTCTATACCAACCTCAGAAATAACAGAAATCTGGTTAGATTTACTTATGTATTTGTTAATACACTTGGCTATAAAGATAGATCTTTTTATAATAGACTATAATTTGGCCTTGTGCTTCAGTTCTTGTGTGTAAAAATGTCTTGGAATTTATAATTCAAAAATTTATAGATTTTAAAAAGAAATTAATAATTTCCGCCTATGTAAGGTAGCAGTTGATATTCATTAAAGTAACTTAACATAGTTGAGAACATATATTCAACAAGTTCATTGACAAGATTTTGAATTTTAGCAGGACAGTGACAACATATGTAAATTCCTGCTTAGAATTTACCATACCCTCAATAAAAATGTATTTTAATAGAAAAGAATAAAAATATTCTATATGTTATGTATGAAACTTTCTATGCATTCTAATTGAGATAATATTTGGCCTTTTCCATCAAGAGGAAAAACTCCGTTTGGTTTCTGAATTCCTTTACATTCCACTCACTTTGCAAATACATTTTACCTTAGTAGAATCCTTGGTACATAAACAACAGTGAACTGATTTTTCCTTTCAGTCTGTTTACTAGAAATTTTTAGAAGAATATGACATTTTGTGATTTTTCAGTTGGCATGTTCCCTTGTTAGGGAGTTAACAATCTAATGTATTATTTATATAGGGATAAAATATAGATTATGGCATTTATTAAGTTCAAAAATAAAATCCGAACTTAAAAAAGAAAAATGTAGCATGAGGAAGTCATCGTTTTTACATAGCCATCAATGTTACTAGACATTTTAATATCACTAAGTTATTGGTGGGAGGTAGGGGGTTAAGTTGGAGTTGGTATAGGAAATGTAGTGTAATAATCATTTATTTATGTTTAAGGTGTATGTAACCGATTTTTAGACTATGGCAAGGTTCCCCATTCATTTATTTACTATGTCTCTATAGAAAGAGTAAGATCTGTTCAGATATATCTGGAGTAAACTCTGCCTCTCTTATTGTCTCTAAAAGCCCTTAAACTCTTTTCTAAAGCAGGGACTATGTTTCGGTACATTACACAGTGCTTTATTTAGCATTAGTGTTTTGGGAGAAATCACATTCCAAGAAGAATTGAGCTGAACCCAGTAAAACTAATCTTAATTATCACTTCTGGTGAATTAATGTTTTAAAGGCGGAATAAAGGTTTATTTTCAGGAATTCAGTGATGTTTGTATTGAACTCAAATGCTGTGTACAAACAATGAAACTATTAAAGCTTCCAAATAGAATTTCTCTGACAAGTTAACTTTGTTCCCCTGAGTTTATTATTTACAAATACATAATTTGCAAATAATTTTTTTTCTCTGCTCCCAAACCTCTTTCATAGCATTCCAATTGAGCATAAAACATGGGGGAAATTTTCATCATGATTTCTTTTTTCTTTCTTTTTTTTTTACCTGCATAAATCTTTTTTTTTCCTTCTTTCAGATGCATCTACATCCATACATTACTGTGTTTGGCTGAATTCCACTCTTATATGATGCTCCATTTTGCACCATACTGTGATGACCTTGCTACTCCGAAACCTGCTGGAGCCTGCCCTTGGCCGTGGGGTGTCAGCCAATCACTGCATGTTCCACTTGTACATTTTATTTTCAACTTCTTTTTCCCTCTCATTTAAGAAAAAAATAATATTAATTTAATAAACTTATAAAAGAGACAGTATTAATACAGAAATTTGCTACAAGTAGATTCTAAAGTCACCAGGAGTTCCATTCTAAAAGGGTTAGCACCTATATCCTAACAGTGAAGTCATTAGAAAAAAAAAAAAGAAAATCCAAACACGTAATTCAACAATAATTTTAAACGTGGGCTTTGTGTGAACAAAGCAAAATTAGGTCTGTTGTGTGTCTATACATTTGTCTACATTAAAGACTGACTTTAAATAAAAATCTAAATTAATATTTTTGAAATGTCATGAGATCACAGCTTGTTTTTCAGGCCAGATAGTTATGTTAGAGGAAAAAAGAGTCTTTTGATTTTTCTGTGTGTGCACCTCTAAATGCCATTGTGTGTATCTGTGTTTGTACCCATACCTGTATATGCAAAGACTTTGAGCAGTATTTATAAAAATGTTAGTTATGAAACAAATTTGAGAGTTTGATTTTGTATTTTTTATCACAGCATTGCTATAGACTGATTTTTCTGTAAGTCCTGAATTATTGACCAAAGTATGTCTAAAATTTTCAAGGCTTTTTTTTTTTGACAAATTACATAAGAAAATTTCAAAAATGTTGGCTAAATTCACTTAAGTCACTTTAGTTACATTGAGAAGGAATATGTGGCTTCCTGTTAATAAATTTAATGGAAGGCTATTCTATTTAATGTCAGATGGCATAAACTCCAGCAGTTCTAACAATTCAGCATGCTGCACTATTGGGACGGTGACTGGATTTTAGTTGTTTGAAAGTCTAGTTAAGTCAGGACCTCCTCTGGATGGCCCCGTAATTCTCCATGTTTATGTATTTATGTGTTTATTTGTTATGTTGTATGCATTTATGTGCTTAAAAACAAGTATTCTATATGTAAAGTTTGATTATTTCATATACATTTACCACATCATCTGCCCTATTAAAATTTGCTACAAGATTGGAAATTCCAAAGAAGAATGCCAAATTTTTATGATTTTTGTTTTGTTTTGTGAATCAAAGTCAGTCTAATAGCCCTTTTGGAAAAAAATAAATAAATACAGGAATGCCATTAAAACGCAAAGTAATAGGAAATACATTATTACCCATGCAAATCCCAAAGGTCTGCTAGTGGATTTTTATTCTATTAGCTATTTATTTAAACCTGCAAAAGGGAAATTGTCTCAAGTATCATTGAGACAACAGTGAAATTCCTCAATAAAACTTAATTATCCTCAACCTCTCATTTTGTTTTGAACATAAGGGCCAGTACAAGAGGCTGGCTAAAGAACCCTTACTACTTCTGCTTCTTTCTTCATCTCAAGAGGTAAACTTCCTCTGATCAACTTGAAGTGTGAATCCTGTAACAAATCAGATCCACTCAAATACTAGTTATTAAAAAAAAAAAAAATCAAAGTCCAAAATTTGTGGTTCCTTGAAAGTACAATTCAAGGCGTAGAGGTAAGATTTAGGAATACCTTCATACAGAACATTCAGAGTTGGCATTTAGGAATAGGTTGTGATACACTCTTGGAGGATTCATCAATTTATCGGGTTTCTAACCATAAGTAGAAAGATATGAAACAAAATAGAAAAATCTGGAGTACATGGCCATAGGAAGAAACACTTGTCTTGGGTAGACTTTTTGTTTCAGTTGTGTTTGTGTGCCTTTGAGTGTCTTGTTCTTGGTTCCTATGTTAAAAAAAAAAGAAAGAAAGAAAAAAGAAAACAAAACCAAAAAATATATGACTATACATATATATATGTAATATTTATATATATATGTAATATATATATATATATATATATATATATATACACACACACACACACACACACATACACACACAGGCACATATTTATCTATCTATTTCATGGTGGAAACAGTTTGAGAATCGTACTCTTCACTGGGGTAGGAAGTTAAGACTGTTTTCTATTGTGATTAAAATATGTAATAAATCAAAGCAAAAAAGAGGATTTTAGTGCATTATTCAGCTGAATCAGAATAATCAAAAGTATAGTTTTTATAGCAGCATTAACCATAGCAAAATTTTTTTTGAGAAATTTTTTTTATCACTTCCTTGCTTCTTGTGTGTGTGTGTGTGTGTGTGTGTGTGAGAGAGAGAGAGAGAGAGAGAGAGAGAGAGAGAGAGGAGAGAGAGATTGGTTCAAGACATAGACTTTCACTGTTTCCCCATACCCCTGCTCCTGATTATTGTTACCAATCTCAGGTCTTTTGATCAGTCTCTGTTATAATTACTGGAACTTATGAATAAGGAGATAACCCTATTGATTTTAGTATTTGAATATTTTATTTTAAATTGAAAGACAATAATTAATTCTCCCTTATAAAATCTAAGGAGGAACATGGTAATGCTGGTGACCAGTTTATTTAGTTCATTCATTAAAGTTTTTTCTTTTAGTAGAACTTATGTCAGCCCTGGTCTTGGTTATGCAAAGAGTAATGAGTCTTTGCCCTCTTAGAATGAATATATTAGAAAGAAGATTACAGAACAGAAAAATGATGATTTTTTTTTTTATCATTCCTCTTACATTTCAATGTGTTGGATACATGTTTGCTCACTTGTTACTCAGAAAAAACTGTGAGGAAGAACACCATTATTTTTCCTGAGATGAGGATAGTGAAGCAATGAAGGTTTTTATGACTCTGATGGAATTAACTACACAACTTTATAAAATATGAAAAAAAATATTCAGTCAGAATTCAAGAGTACTAAAAGCACTTGAAGGAAACTTTAAGATTTGTGGAGTTTTTTTTTTTTTTTTTTTCTGTTTTGTTTGTAGTGATTGGGATGGAACACCAGGGACTCATGCATACCACACAAGCCTATCACCACTGAGGCACATCCCCAGGACAAGACTGTTTTTAAATAGAGTTTTCTTTCAGACTTCTCTGCACAACGTCTTCCCAAAACAGAGTCAGAATTCAAGAGTTCTGAAAGTATATGAGAAAAGTTGTAAAATTTGCATTTTGTAATAGGGTATATTTTCCAGACTTCTCTGGACAAAATCTTTGCAAAAAGAAATCTTTAAAAAAACAGGCTGTTTTTTAAATGTTTCCCCCCACCCCAGAAGTCACACACTGCACTTCATACTTTAAAGGAAGGAAGGAAGGTAGGAAGAAAAGGCATCGTGGGTGTAATTTGGGTGTCTAATTAATTAACTAGATGTGTATAAGTGATTTTTAAAAGAACCCAATCAAGAATTAGGCAAATTGCTTTAACCCAAACTTTATTTTTGAGACATTTTTTGGAAAACTTATGAAGGTCCTTAGGAAGTGCTACTACTATTAATACTACCTCTCAGGGAATAAAATTTTATCTCTACCTTTGCAATAACTTTCCTTTGATGTGTGTGATTCTTAAATCTCTTCATTTCATAGATAGCATATTGTTTTGCTCTATCTTTATTACACAGTGCAAAACTTTGGGAAGGAGATAAAATGATTATTACAAGGTCCCTACCTTCCATAGATGAGACAATACAAAAAACGATACACATAAAACGGGAAATACGTGAAGGTCAGAGTGACTGCCCCTACATTTGTCTTGTCCATCATCATAGTATTTCCTCATGCCCAGGATCATGCCCAATTTACAGGAGACACTCATAAATATCTGTTGAACAAATGAACAAAAGTTGTGGACCTTGATGCTAGGTAGCCTGTAGATTGTATCTGGAATTTGGCATAGCCACTTTTTTTATCAGGTTCTGAGCTCTTCAGGAACTGTTACTCTCCCTGCTGGGAGGGTATACCATGATGAAAGGTTACCTGCTGGGTTGGCTGGAGCCCCAGTCTCCACTTCCTAATTTATGCCTCTTGTTTCAGTAGCATATGAATAATTCTCTGATTTCTCCTTCTTCCTTCTTGGTGGTGGTGTAAACACCAGACCCTTAAATAAGATAAACTGAAGCAAATGTTTAAGGCAAGTGAAGGAAGCACTGGTCACCCTGAAGATTCTGTCTTATTTTGAGGGGATATAAAAGAAGAACCATGCAAGCATATGGGTTTTCAGTATTTTTCTGGGGATCCTTATCTGGGGAAAAAATAGATACATGTACGCCCAAACACATGCACAAATTTCTGTGTCTGTCAATTTATATATTCCTGCATATTTTATTCACTCACTGTGCCAACTCATGCTCACTGATAAAGTTTCCATTTTCATTCAGCCCTTGACAGTCATTTTTAAAAGGTGATATGTCCAGCATGTCTGTGAAAGGAAACACATACTCCATTTACTAAAGAAAGGCCTAAAAAGGGAATACACTCTTAGTTCAAAGTGGTGGGCAGTGAGACAGGAGCAGAGAAATGCCTTGCAACACAAAATGACTCCTAAGGAGGCTGGAAAGGCCTGAGGAGCTCCTCTTTGAAATCGTGAATGACCTGTGACCAATGTCTGTTTCAGTCTTTAGCTCACCCAGGTGCATATTGCTAAAAGATAACTAAGTCAGCACATTGCAAATATCAATAATCCTTAAGAAGTAGGAATTTTGCTTGGGGCATAGAGGAAAGGTGGGCAGCCTTTCCCAGCTTGGAAGACAGAGGAGTCAGTTAAAGCACTTAGTGTCTCCAACTCCAGTATTGAGTCAGGAGGTAGGGGGATTACATCTGAAAGGACCATTCAGGCCTGACAAAGGCAAATGTTTGTGGCCTTGAGTTTTGGCCCTGGAGAATTTAAGGATTCCACTAAATGTCATGGCTTGATATGATTGCAAGATTAAGAGTGAAAAAGTGGTAACTTCCACTTTATTCCCTTTAGACCAGGTGTTTTGAGTGTTTTGGGTTTTGTTTTCTATTTTTAATATCCAGTTCAACTGCTCTGTCTCCACTAATTTTCTGCTCCCATACTTTTAAGAGAAAGAACAAAGCAGTACAAAACCTGCATGGCAGATAACCTACCTCTCCCTACTATTATTATTAGACTAGTGTAATAAAAATTGTTGTCACTTATTAAGACATTATTGTCAGCAGTTGTTTCTTATCCTGGTTTTAACTTGAGGAAGCTGAGATATAAGAGGATAATAGCATTTTGTTCGATGCTGGGAGCAACTTCAGAAAAATTCATTTGACAAAAATCTGTGGAATGTTTACAGCAGACCAGATGTAAAATGCACCGGCTCCCTTCATTCCTGGTTGGGTGGGCTAAATATTTCAAGATTTGAGAAATAATAATTTTACTTAATAAGCTATAAATTTTAGTAAAACAATGAAGATTAAAAGGAATTTGAACTGTTTTGGTGAAGAATATTGTGCTTATTTCATAATGTGCTACAAGCCTGTGCTAATCAAATATAAGAGTTGTGTAATTCTGTTTTGCATAAATATCATTACAAATGCAGATTTACTTGCCCCATTCTTAGAAATTTGATTCTAGGACATTAGTGCTTTAGCCTAGAAACCTGAATTTTTAATGTTTTCCTCCCTTCTCAATTCTGGTTGCAGATGCTAGGCCAGACAGTGAAATTTCTAGGTTATAGGCCTTGAAATTCCTAACTTCTGCTTACTGCTGCACTCCTAGAAGGTCTCTAGAAAAAAAAATGGGAACTAGGTGAGGCAATCTGAAAAAAATCTACCCTCCATCCCAGCTGTCACTAGTTGGCTGATGTAACCTCATGTAACCCCTTCAAGTCCTGAAGCCTCTAGAAACTCCTCTTCTGTCATTTTACATAATGACCCTAGTGCTGATTATATGACAGGGTTTATGGGGGTCACATGAATCATTTGAGAATTTTTGAAGCACTATCACAACTGACATAATATTTCTAGTCATCCATGAATTTCTCTAAACACTTTGGAAGGTGCTTTTACACTTTGGTCGTATTTTCATTGTATTTTATTTTTAAAAGACTAAAAGAATATTTGTCCTAACCACATGTTCAAACCTCTGCTTGTCTCTTAGCCTGGTCATCTTCCAAGTTGTGCTAATCTGGTACCAAGGTGTGACTATGTGTGGCTCTCTACATATGCTATGAGGCACTGGTTATTGTTAAAAAGACCTCCAGGACTTGAAGCTCATCTCTCTGTAGTGAAGCAGGAGTGGTAATGGCTTCTGGTTGTAGAACAGTTAGTAGAGGAGAGGCTCACAACAATTCTGAAACATCATTTTTGACAAGTTTTTAAAAATCCTATCACTTTTCAACCGTCATTTCTTCTTGCCATATGATCTTTCCTGGGACATTATCTTTCCCTTCCTGTCCAGCAACTAAAAGTAACAGCTGTCATTTATGAAACTTTTATTCTGTGCTGATGATCACTGTGCCAAGGGCTCTGCTGTATTATATCATTTACTTCCTCCAGCAGTCCTAGAAACAAGTAATATCAGAATCTCCATATGACACAGGAAACAGGATAAATGGAGCCTCTCCAAATTCCTGGTCCCTCTACTATGGAAATCCCCTCCAACAGACTTTTCTCTAAATATATGAGAATTTGTATTATTGTAGTCTTCCTCATAGATTTTCATTTACATAGTTACATTTTTAGCTTTGGTATGATTTTCTAGTCCACAATACCTGCTCTGAATTCCCAGCAGGTTTAGTAGAGTCTGTATTAGTCTACTCAGGCTGCTATAACAAAATACCATAGACTGGGTGTCCTAAATACTTTTTTTTTTCAGTTCTGGAGCCTGAAATTCTTAGATTAAGATGCTGGCAGGCGTGGCTTTTGGCGAGGCCTATCTACTTGGCTTGTAGGCAGCAGCTGTCTTTCTGTGTCCTCGTATAACCTTTCCTCTGTACATGTGCACAGAGAAAGCTCCAATGTCCCATCCTCCTATAAATTCTATCAGATTAGTACCCTAACTTTATGACCTCATTTAACCTTAAAGCCTTATCTCCAAGTATAGTCACATTAGGGATTAAGACTTTAATGTGTGTACTTGGGGGGGGGGGGGACACAATTCAGTCCCTAACAGAGTCTATTCTTGGTCTAAGCAAGAATACATTGGACAGCATCATCCTTTCCTCGCCAGCTTGTTATTCATTACATACAGTGTGAGCATTCGTGGGAGAGTATTCCTTCCACTTTTCCTTTCCAGAGGAGCTCCAAACAGCAACCTTATAAATGTGTTCTTACAATTGATGAAGAATGGGAAGATTTGCTATGGCTTTTGTGAAAGATATGTGAATCTGTAATACATATGCATGTACAAAAAAGTTTAAAATACACTTTGGCTTACCACATCTAAATTTTATGCTCATAGTTAAATACTTTCTGCCATTTCTAGCTTTCGTGGAAATTTGTAATATTAAGTAACATCTTAGTTATTACAATTTTACCCACCAATAACTTCTTTTATGCATATTACTTAAAGTAACATCGAAATTTGCATAAAATAGTACAAAATTGTTTCATGAATGAGTTTTTGTTTGTTCGTTCTATCTTTCTTTCATTTTTTAAAATTTTGGGTGTTTAACCAATGATGTATCCCTGGTCCTTTTTATGTTTTTATTTTGAGACAGGGTATTGCTGAATTGCTTAAGGCCTTGATAAATTGCTGAGGCTGGTCTCAAGCTTGCACTCCTCCTGCCTCAGTCTCCTGAGTTGCTTGGATGAGTTATTTTAAATTACAATATTAATATTTAGTGCAAACCATCTAATACATTTTCAACATGAAAATCCAAATGAAAAGCAGTAGGAATTAAATGGAGAGGGAAGTGAACAGAAATGTAGACTTACTAATTCTTTTTTTATAAGGAAAATCTCAGTGAATTTTCTGCATGGTGGCATCAGTGATTGTACAGGGACCTAGTGGTTCTGATTTCTCATGGCAGATGGAAATGACCAGGTGTATAACCAAGGCTGAATCCCCACTCCCAGAGACTCCTCTGTAATTATTATTTTTAACGTGGGTAGTAAACTTTTCACAATGAGACGCATCCATGCACAAGTCAGGGATTATGCTTTCATTCACCTATTGTGCTTTTTTATTTTCTTAATAAAATTAAAATGTCAGGTGATAAGATACATACAGACTAATCTGAATCTGGAGCTCCATAAACATCCAACATGGTGAATGCAGGGGTGTCCTTGTAGGGTGATAAACCATAAGTTCATCAAAGTCTTGAAGTACCACTCCCACCTTTTTTCTTTGGTCAGTATTTCCAGGCAATGAAACATTAATAGCTGAATGGAGTTTTCCTAAGAAGTACCTGTCCAAGCTTCTAGATCTGATTTTACATTTGACTACCAACATTTTTTAAAAAGGAAGTTTAACATACCCCTGTTCAGGGAATATCACTAATTATTTAATTGACAAAGATATATTTTAAAAACTCCCTCTAAATGTTTTTTTTTCTAAATATTTTACTGTGATTACAGGGATCAATTTTAGATACAGAGATGGCATTTCTAGAGAACATTAGGAAAAATGTTGATAATTACTGTTTTTCTAAACCAATACAACTGTTTGGTCAGGAACACTAAAATTTGCTTTGTTAATAAACTTGTGGGGTTTTTCTTTAATGTACATTTAATAAGTTATATATATATATATGTATGTATATATATAACTTTACATGTATGTGCATATAAATGTATATATAGCATATGTATATACATATACAGGCACACATATGTACAATGTGTGTATACACATGCAGAATGTGTATACACACAGAGAAGTTATGCAATTAATATCTCTGTGAGCAGATATTTATTGAGTGACTACTATATGCCAATTATGATCATGGTACTATTCTAGACCCTGGAGAAATAGCAATAACAGAAACTGACATAAATGCTTACCTCTTTGGAATTTCAGTTTCAGTGGAAAAATATATAAATACTAAGAGTAAATGTATATTGTACACTATATTTTGAGTATTGGTCAACATATTTTATACACATTAATATTCATTAAATAGGCATATCAGCCTTCCAGTGTTCCTATGGTTACCTTAATTTTGCAGATGTGGAAAGTGATGAGCAGTGAGTTGAGTAATTTGCTCATAGTTACAGAAGCTGTAAAGTGGCAGAGCTGAGGTTTAAGGACAGGCAGTCCAGCTACACAGGCCACATGCTCAGTCTCTGTTCCTGTGTGAAGTAGAGGAAACGTGTCTGTGACACAACCAGCTATTTCTGTGGGAAGGAAATTCCATCTTTTGCTTCTCTGAAAGGCTTCTGTGATATTCAGCCTTGCTATTTTATTAACTTACTATGTTCTTGATATTAGGTCATTCAATTTATTTTTTTAATAGTATCACCTTAAACCTTAAAATCGAAGTGCAGATCAAAAGATAGGAAGGTGGAAATTAGACCAATTGATGTTCTTCTTCCTTCTACTCATCCTGTGCTATTTGAAAATGACATAAAATATATTTTTCTTTTCATTATTTTAATATTTTTTTATTTTATTCAGTATTTTCCTACTCTGTTTTGTACATCATTGGTGCAAATTGGAAAAACATTTTTTAAAAAGTTTTGAATTGCTATTTGATTCAGGACAGGAAATGCCTTTTAATGAAGAGCAAAATTTTGACCCAAAATTTGTAACTAGTACATTTCATTTACCTTTTACAAAAAAAAAAAAAAAAACATGTATTTCTCTTGATTTTTAGTGTTCACAATATTTGAAAGAAAGTAAAGTGAACATAAATTAACATAATATTTTAGAAACTTTTTTTAACATTTCTTTAAATTAGGTGCTTATTATTAACCATTCAATTTAAATATGACCTACAGTGTTTTCCCCTTATCTTCAGGAGATATATTCCAAAATTCCCAGTGGATGCATGAATTTGCAGAGAGCATGGAATCATACACTTTATGCTGTGTTTTTTTTCTATAATACATATCTTTGATAGAATGTAATTTATAATCAAGCACAGTAAGAGGTTAACAACAATAATTAATAATAAAAAGAATAATTATAACAGTATACTATAATAAAAGTTATTAAAATTTATGCATCATTTATTTCTGGAATATTCTACATAATATTTTCAGACTGCAGTTGACTATGGAAACCATTCAGTAGGATGGAATATGGTTTATCATGTAAGAATCTTTCTTTTAAAATATATTATCATTTTATTTTTTACAATTTACATAGTTTTAATGAAACATATTTAGTTGGCAAAAGATGTAGATGAGTAGCACTAAAGTTCATTTGAACTTGATCCTTTTTTCCTTTTTTTAAATCATCCCAGGGATGGAAACCAGGGCCTTGGATATGTTAGGCAAGTGCTCTACCACTAAGCTACATCTCAGCCCTGTAGTCAATTCTTTATGAAAATAATTGTATACTAATTTTTGATCGAGGTAGTGTCTTAATGTGTCAGTAACAGTTTTTATTGTTGGATTTTCCTTTTTACCTAAGCAGCTTTCCCAAATATTCATCATTGAAATAACTGTGTTCCGTTGTATAATACCTTTGCATACATGAAAACTGAATCAATCTGAGTATTAGTAGAATAATTTAACATTTCAAGTACCAAAACCAATGAATTGATTTCTGATACTATTGTTTCCTCATTCCACTTAAACATTTGTAGAATTTTGTTTCCTCGACAATGGATTAAAATATTGCCAACATTGCAGTTATTTTTCTATTAGGGAAAATAAGTCCCAGTTAATGCCCAGATCCCACTTGAATTCTTAACAGCGTGATACACCACCTCCCTGTTATTCTCATGAAAGTTTAACTCCAGTTTATAAGCAGCCACCTTAAAGGCACAGGACTCTAGAAACTGATCAGTGTTTGTTATTGGCTTACTAACTATGGATCTCATAAATATATTTTGTAATTACTAAATCATTAGATTATAAGAAAATTAGGGGTAGGAATAATTTGGCTTGATTTGGAAAGGTTGTTCAATTTAGTTTTTGAGAATTGACAATTAGTTATGAATCTATAAACTTCAATAATGGTATTGGCACACTTTCAAGAAGGGGAAAGAGAAGATTGAGGATGTAGCTTGTTTTGCATAATTACACTGTAAGAACTTGGTGAAATCCACTAGTTGTTCTGTATATATAATTATCACTCTTTCAAGAGGTTTCCTGGATATACCTTGAGATTTTTGTGTGTGCATTCAGACAATTGGGAATTGTTTTCAGTCCCCACTAATAAGTAGTACGAACACTAACCTTACCAAGTAAGCAAGCAATAAAAGTGTGTGCTTATGAATTCTTAAGAGTTCATGGCTATTAATCTTGAAGTTGTTGATCATTCTCTTGTAAGCTAACAATTATCACTAGAGCACAAAGCCGGGGATTCAAATGGTAAACAAGCATATCACTGTTGGCTAGCTTCAGAAATGGCTTAATGAAGAATTGAGTTTTATGCTATGTTTATGATTTCAAATATATAATAATTTTGATAATTATTTGATGAATGTACATCAGAAGGGACTTAAAGTGCCCGATGTCCCTACCATGTTACACTCCAGTTAACAAAACAGCATCTGCACAGAGTGGAAGAACAATAGACATGGCTTGAACAAGCAAAATGGTCTATATATTACTTTCATGATGTTCACATACATATGTCTGTATAAATTTCTCAACTCCACTTCAGAAATGCTCATTGCTACATTTTAGGCAACAAAGATGCCCTGCAGAGAAAATGATAGTGATTTGTATGAAGCCTAAACAAAGAAAATCCAGAAGCATTTATAGTCTTTAATTATTGTGTCGTGTATACTCTTGGCACTTAGCTTGTGTTCAGAGTTGACCGGTGTGATGCTTTTTTAATCTCTGGTGTCTGTGAGGAAGCAGAGTGCTGCCACTTGAACTACAACTTTTGTTTTGATGTTATTTAATATCAGAAGGAAAGAAATTATTCATCACATACTACTTTGTATAAAAATAAATTGAAACACAGAAGAAATCCTCACATCAACAAGCATGGCTTGTAGCATAATGTGCCTGTTTGGGTGGGTACAATCCTGGCTTGGAGGCAGATGCAGATTTTACAAGATTTGTTTTGGTTTTGATCTCTGATGTTGAACAACTTTTCCCTCTACCTTTCATCTTAACTAATTCATTTAACACTCAGTGGGAACTGTGAAAGTCTGACCATGAAACTTGGAATATTGGTTAGTGTGATTTCTGTTACACATTGTGTAAAGAAAATACATATGAGGAGTATGGATGGAAAAAAAAAATTGAAAATGAAGTAATGGTGCCGCGAGTTGAACTTAAGTATTTCCCTAGAAGAATTAAGTTTTTTTTTTTAAAGAATATTTTGTTACCAAAAATAATAGCGTTGTCACATTTCATTCCTAGCACTGTTCTGTGGAGAAAAATTGAAAACATTGTTTTATCACTCTGAGACAATGCAGAAATATTTTATTGAAGAAAGGAGAAAAAAATATGCTTTAGAACCAAAGAGGAAAGTCTCAATTTACAAAAGGAAAAAAAAAAAGAATCAAGGATTTTGCTCAGGGGTCCAAAAAAATGTTTGGCTTATTTATTTTTTATCACTTAAGCTGGTATCTTGCTGGGCCTCTTTATTGAATAATTGAAAAAAATTGGGTAGGGGAGGGACTTTTTCATCAAAGGCAAAATATAGTGAGAAATAAAAGTACTAAGGGAATATAGATAGGAAGTTGTATCTTTCTGTACTTTCATGATTGCCTACATTTCTTCCTAAACTTATAGTTGAAAAGCACTGAAAAAAAAAATCAAGCCCTAAGGAAAATGCTAGAGAATAAATCCTAACATTCTAGGCTCGTTTACCTGAAGTGCTTACACACATACACACACACACACACACACACACACAGTCTCTCTCCTGCTTTCTCTCTCTCTCTCTCTCTCTCTCTCTCTCTCTCAAACACATACACACACACACACACATACACACAACACACTCTCATAGGCACCCAAGAACACGCACTACCACTACAACCATAAGCAGCAGCTCAAACTACTTTACCTTTTAAAACAGCCATCCATTTATATTTGCAAATTAAAGCAAAAATAGTTTGATGAACACTGAAATTTTGGGCGCATATTGGCATTTTTGAAACAGTTTTCAGAAAAAGTATTATTAACTATCTCACTAGTTTCAAGTTGTGAAAGAAGATTGTTAGAATAATGACTTCAGCAAAGTGGAAATTCCATTTTTGGCAATGTTCCTGAAAGACATTGGATTTGTAGGTAATCTGTGTCCCCCTGGATTCTTGAGCTTTCTCTGCAGCAGAGTTCATTTATGAGCATGAGGTGCTGCTCATTTCTTTCCCCAGTGGCAGCCTGTAAGCTTTTACACCAGCTCCATCTTCATTTTTTGCGCTAAGTAGGCTTATTGTTCTTACTGTCTAAGAGGGAGTCTGAAGTCACTACCAAGCAGCCAAGGGATAAGAATGTTTTAAACACTGAATGTTTTTCTGACTCCTGTATCCCAACAGCATTGAGAAAACTATAAAGAATCAGCAAATCTGGAATTTGTTTTTAACCATCAATTTTCCAGTATTTCTTGATGATGTCTAAAAATCAGTAGAGGTAGAAATCCAA